TAGGAGCTTCTCCAGGGACCGCCAGGACGTTCACCCACAGGTCACGACCTTCGTACGTCTTGCCGATGGATTTCAGGCTCACCCACTCGTACTTCTGGGAAAGCTCGCTCATGTAGCCTTCAATCTGGATGGGTTGAGGACGAAAATATTGGTTGTTATCATTGATGATTGTTAATATTGTTATTGTTATTGTTACCGTTATTATTATTATTATTATTATTATTATTGTTATTATCATCATCGTCTCCTTATCATTTTATGATCAATATTATTATCAGTTTCATTATCATTATTATTATTATTATTATCATCATCATTATAATTATTGTTGTCATTATTGATATCATTTCGACTATCATTATCATTATAATTTAATTATTATTATTATCCTTATTATTATTATTTTTGTTATTGTTATTATAGCGATTATTATTATATAACTGTAATAATAATAATCATTATAATTTAACTTTATTATTATCGTCCGTCGTTATCATCATCATCATTACTATCGTTGTTGTTGTTTTTATTATGTTTTTTTTTCTTCTTTTTTTATTGTTGCATTCTTGCCATTTTCAATAATTAAACTGAAGGAGAAAAGGTTGGTGCTGACATAAGGGTACTGTTTAATTGATATGCATATCACAATACACTGAGACACATCAGAACATTAAGAATGGACAATCACACACAGAGTTGAACAAGAAGAATCTCTTTTACTAAACCCTAATAAGAGTTAATCAGTAACTGTTAATCCTCTTCCCACCTTCGATATTTCTAAGCCGATTTACGAAGACCCAAAATTTCTAAAGTTTTCGGAAACCGGTTTAGCGCGAGGTATCATCACTGTCACGGTTGCGCGACGAGACAAATGATATATATCTGACACTTGAATCATGTGTCACGCAACTTATAAGACCGACTAGACGCATAACTGTTACATATAATAATACACTAGGTGACAAATGGCTATGGCAGTGACAAAAGTAATTACATTGTGTTAAAAGTTAGTAGTTACGTCATAAATAAAGAAGATTTGCAAGAACTACGGAGAACTGGAAGCCGTAATAATGCGTATAATACAAACAATGTAATGTAGCGTAATACCTTTCTTATATTCGTTCATGGGTCGACGGAACTGGACGTGTAACTATTACGAATAATAATACACTAGGTGACAAATGGCTATGACAGTGACAAAAGTAATTACCATTGTGTTAAAAGTTAGTAGAGTCTGCTTGACATATGACAGTCGCGCTCGGATGTTACGTCATGGATATTTGCAGCATATCGTGATCACAATCTTCCGCGATCATTTTCCAGAACATTGAACGCTTGTTTTCGAAGCCTTCAAGTGATCGACTATCCTGAGAGAGAGTAGAGTCATCGTTACATCGGTAGCAAGTGAAATTCGCCTCTCACGTTCGTTACAGATAGCTTTTGCGGATCAGGGAACTTGCAAAATCAATCAATTGCGAGTTCATTATCAGTTCATTGGAGAAGAAGTATGAACAGAGGTTAAAATTTGCATACACCCCTACCGTAAGTTTCAAATTCAGCTTAGCAACAACCATTTCGTAAAGAGATTTAATCCGAAGCCTAAAATGGTACATCAAGGTATATTTAATCTTCCTTCCCCTGTCACTGAGGAAATTCTTGAGGTTGTTGCATGATCCTGTTTTGCTCCCAAGACTCCTTTGATCGACGCCTCGACGGTCGTCCTTGAGGGACACTTGCCTTATTAGATGCCCTTCATAACAATGTCAAGATAAGGGACAAGGATGCTTCATGACTGGGTTAATACACATAATGCAAAAACAAGATTATACTCTCTACAGAAAATCACTAATGATAAAAAACGGTCTTTAGACGCTATTAAATAAATCAAAAACATTTTAGAACTTCATCAAAGAATACGATTAATGTAGCTTATCTTCTTGAGCTAATTCTCTCTCTCACCCCCCCCCCCCCTCTACATCACCCCCGAAGTGTCTCTACTCGTGCGGGCATAACTTTGAGATATTCGCTATGATAACTCCATTGTTCTACGTAAATAAAGGCATATTTTCTAAATAACCATCAAGTGCGATATCATACAAAGAAATTCTTGGGGGAAAAGATCCTTGGTAGGAAATGCCAAAAGAGTTTTGTTGAAATCTATTGAAAAAATAAATCTTACGCAAGACTTACGTATCGAAGTGAATGCCAGTTAAATAAGCATCTGAACAAAAAGGACTCTCATGTTTCAGATTTGTTCCAATTTTACAAGATCAACATTTCTTACTAGTGCCATAGATATAATTCTTATTGATGCCACAGTTAGGAAAAAAAGAGGAAATCCCAAAGTAATAGCAGTAATCTACTTTACAAGCTAATTATCTCGAGGGAAAGGTTGGGAAAGACGTCAGGAGGCGATTTTCCAATACTTTTGAGATTGAGTAGAGTAATTGTAAGCTTATGGCGGAAATAATCAGAGGGGATTGTCTATTTCTTTGTGATACTGCTGAAAAAATATCTGAAAAAAAAAAAAAATCTCGACGCAACCGTATTTTTTTTTGTGGAAATGATTACGAAATATAAAGCGAAGAACGATAACAAAAGGGAGGCAGAAAGGTATCTTTTCTATATAGAGAGGTAGAAGAGAAAAAAAATATATCAGCGAGAGAGGAGATTAACCTATTTACGTTTATGAGATGACTTGTACCAGTGCTATGATAGCTATTTCTCGGGCTCACCTCTTGTCCTCTAAAATGATCAAGGAGATAATTTAAGAGAACAGATAAGAAGTATTCTTCAAAGTATAAAGAACATATTGCAAAGTCACTAACTTTTTTTGCAATAAACTCTTTCTCAACAACAGTTAGCGATTAGGGAATGACAGGATAAGAAAGACCTATCCTTTGCATGAGAAAGAATAAATAAAAATTTGCAAGAACTACGGAGAACTGGAAGCAATAATAATGCGTATAATACAAGCAATGTAATATAGCGTAATACTTTTCTAATATTCGTTCATGGGTCGACGGAATTTGGCAATATCAATATGTCAATAAGCGAACTGTCGTAACCACTGAAACAATATTAAGTGTCTCATAACAGATGTAATATTAATTCGACCTTCGCAATACATATAAGAAGATGCCCTGGTGTGTAATGATGAGAAGTGAATGTATTGGAAAAGTTGCAGAATTATTAGAAGAATCATTTTTAAAAATCCTTTGGGCTGTCTCATGAGTTCCACAGTCGTCATGCAACTCTAGTTATATGGTCTAAAGGGGAGGTTTACACACACACACACACACACACACACACACACACACACACACACACACACACACACACACACACACACACACACACACACACACACACACACAAAGAAAAACACTGAGATCACTGTAAGTCAAGAATGTCAAGACAAATAGTTCATAGGTATACAATTACACGGACTCCCGCGCATCGTCCAGAAAAAGAGCTTAAAAATAAAATTCTTAAATTCTCGGCCGGAGAAGAAGGTCTAATGTAATTCCTATTAGCGAGGAAGAAGAACGGAAAACAGGCCGGATAACAGAGGCCATTCAACTGGGGGGGGGGGGGGAGTTCATTATTTATTCAGAATTTCATAACAGAAATCTTTGATCTTTTTCTTGTTGTCCCCATAATTCCTACAATAGTATAAAAGTCCACGTAAGATGTAAATTATGTTTATTGAGTCATCGGCTTAAGAGGGAGGTCACATGAGCGTTTTATTTATTTATTTATTTATTTATTTTCGATAAGTCTGAGGTATTTCAGTTTTTCCACTTCCCTTATTTTACGGATTCGCATAATCTATTCCTTAGGCAGAAGTAGAAACAGACGATAAAAAAGTAGAAGCAGACTCTTCGGCGAAAAGTGAGAATAATCAACTACACCAATAATAAAATCATATTTATTTTCATCAATATGATTTGAAAATTGATATAGCATTTTACATCCTTATATATATATATATATATATATATATATATATATATATATATATATATATATATATTTTTTTTTTTTTTTTTTTTTTTTTTTTTTTTTTTTTTCTTTTCTTTTAAACACACCTTTACTATTTCTTCTCTGCAACCACCAACGAACGTACACACGCCGTTTTAGTAATCGCCGAGCCCCCATTTCTGCAGCAGAGGACAAATAATCTACCTGGCGGGCCGCGCGGGAACTGTAGACGCCACGTTTGTTGCTGAAACCGAGCGCACAGTCGATGCTTCGTTTCGCCCGTGTAGGCAGCTCGGAACAGTTGGGGAAATCGTCCAATAGGAAACATCGAATAGCGGATCATATTACAAACTGGTTGTTGGAATAAAAGCGTTCGCGTGACCGTACCTTTACCGAAGGAAAATTGCACAGAGAAAGCTTTCTGTATTAGATTTAGTGGTCCCAAGTTGGGGAAATCGCCCACAGGGAAACATCGAATGGCGGATCATATCATAAACTGGTTGTTGGAATAAAAACGTTTGCGTGACCGTACCTTTACTGAAGGAAAATTGCACGGAGAAAAGCTTTCTCTGTTAGGTTTAATGGTCCCAAGCTTCCTGAATTAGATTTTAGTCGTCTCGAGCTTTCTAAGTTAGATTCAATGGACGCGAGCTTTTTAAAGTAAGCTTAATGGTCTCGATCTTCCAGTCTTAGATTTCATGGTCTCGAACTTTCTACCTTAGATTTAATGGTCTGTCAACGGTTGTTAATAGAGAAGTTTCCGATGTTTTCAGTTCATTTTCTTGCGGGATCGACTTTCCTGTGCCATCGTTAAACCATCAGATCATTAGCAAAAGAGACATTTACGACGCAGAGGAGAGACTTAACAACCCAACAAGACGAGGTAGTGCCGTTTGAGTGGACTGGTTCCTTGAGTGTGTAGTTAGCCTTTGATGAGTTGGAGCTTTTAGCATTATTAAGGTATTTTTGAAGATCTATGAGGTTTGTATATGAGATTAGATATGTTATCATTATCCTAATTAACATCATCGTCGTTATTATCGTAATCATCTTCATCTTTTTAATCATTATCGTTATCATCGCCATCATTATTATCCAAATCATTATCGTTATCATCGTTCATAATTTCATAATCATCAT